TAACTAACGCACATGTGTAGAGAAAATTGTGCATCGGCCAGTCTGGCCGGCATTTCGCACTTATAGTGCAACTAGGGCCAAGGAGAACGGAAACGCTCATTTCTCAAAAAGTAGAGAGAATCTAGCGGTCTCACTTGATCAGAAGGTGGGAAATATATAAATCTAGAGAGCTAATAAGGTTCGGAAGGAATATAATGCATATGTATATAGAAAGTGGTGCATTGGCCACGTCGGTCAGTATGGGAACTTAGGGTGCAAATGCCTGGGAGAACGGAAGCGCTCAGATCTCGCATAGTACACCGAATCTAGTGGTCTCACTCAAATATAAGGTAGGAAATAAGTTCATCTAGTGAACGTAGGGGTTTGAAAGGTAACTAACGCACATGTGTAGAGAAAATGGTGCATCGGCGAGTCTGGCCGGCATTTCGCACTTATAGTGCAGGTGGGGCCAGGGAGAACGGAAACGCCCATTTCTCAAAAAGTAAAGGAAATCTAGCGGTCTCACTCAATCAGAAGGTGAAAAATATATAAATCTAGTGAGCTAATAAGGTTTGAAAGGAATCTAATGCATATGTATATGGAACGTGGTGCATTGGCCAGGTCGGTCAGTATGGGAACTTAGAGTGCAAATGCCTGGAAGAACGGAACCGCTGAGATCTCGCATAATACACGGAATCTAGTGGTCTCACTCAAATAGAAGGTAGGAAATAAATTCATCTAGTGAACGTAAGGGTTTGAAAGGTAACTAACGCACATGTGTAGAGAAAATGGTGCATCGGCCAGTCTGGCTGGCATTTCGCACTCATAGTGCAGGTGGGGCCTGGGAGAACGGAAACGCTCGTTTCTCAAAAAGTAGAGGGAATCTAACAGTCTCACTCGATCAGAAGGTGGGAAATATATAAATCTAGTCAGCTAAAAAGGTTTGAAATGTATTCAACGCACATGTATAGAGAAAATGGTGCATTGGCCAGGTCGGTCAGTATCGGAACTTAAAAATGCAAATGCCAGGGAGAACGGAAGCGCTCACATCTGGCATAGTACGCGGAATCTAGTGGTCTCACTCAAGAAGAAGGTAGAAAATAAATTCATCTAGTGAACGTTAGGGTTTGAAAGGTAACTAACGCACATGTGTAGAGAAAATGGTGCATCGGCCAGTCTGGCCTGCATTTCGCACTCATAGTGCAGGTGGGGCCAGGGAGAACGGAAACGCTCGTTTCTCAAAAACTAGAGGGAATCTAACGGTCTCACGCGATCAGAAGGTGGGAAATATATAATTCTAGTCAGCTAAAAAGGTTTGAAATGTATTCAACGCACATGTATAGAGAAAATGGTGCATTGGCCAGGTCGGTCAGTATCGGAACTTAAAATGCAAATGCAAGGGAGAACGGAAGCGCTCAGATCTCGCATAGTACACGGAATCAAGTGGTCTCACTCAAATAGAAGGTAGGAAATATATTCATCTAGTGAACGTAAGGGTTTGAAAGGTAACTAACGCACATGTGTAGAGAAAATTGTGCATCGGCCAGTCTGGCCGGCATTTCGCACTTATAGAGCAACTAGGGCCAAGGAGAATGGAAACGCTCATTTCTCAAAAAGTAGAGGGAATCTAGCGGTCTCACTCGATCAGAAGGTGGGAAATATATAAATCTAGTTAGCTAATAAGGTTCGAAAGGAATCTAATGCATATGTATATGGAAAATGGTGCATTGGCCAGGTCGGTCAGTATGGGAACTTAGAGTGCAAATGCCAGGGAGAACGGAAGTGCTCAGATCTCGCATAGTACACGGAATCTAGTGGTCTCACTCAAATAGAAGGTAGGAAATAAATTCATCTAGTGAACGTAAGGGTTTGAAAGGTAACTAACGCACATGTTTAGAGAAAATGGTGCATCGGCCAGTCTGGCCGGCATTTCGCACTCATAGTGCAGGTGGTGCCAGGGAGAACGGAAACGCTCGTTTCTCAAAAACTAGAGGGAATCTAACGGTCTCACGCGATCAGAAGGTGGGAAATATATAATTCTAGTCAGCTAAAAATGTTTGAAATGTATTCAACGCACATGTATAGAGAAAATGGTGCATTGGCCAGGTCGGTCAGTATCGGAACTTAAAATGCAAATGCAAGGGAGAACGGAAGCGCTCAGATCTCGCATAGTACACGGAATCAAGTGGTCTCACTCAAATAGAAGGTAGGAAATATATTCATCTAGTGAACGTAAGGGTTTGAAAGGTAACTAACGCACATGTGTAGAGAAAATTGTGCATCGGCCAGTCTGGCCGGCATTTCGCACTTATAGAGCAACTAGGGCCAAGGAGAATGGAAACGCTCATTTCTCAAAAAGTAGAGGGAATCTAGCGGTCTCACTCGATCAGAAGGTGGGAAATATATAAATCTAGTTAGCTAATAAGGTTCGAAAGGAATCTAATGCATATGTATATGGAAAATGGTGCATTGGCCAGGTCGGTCAGTATGGGAACTTAGAGTGCAAATGCCAGGGAGAACGGAAGTGCTCAGATCTCGCATAGTACACGGAATCTAGTGGTCTCACTCAAATAGAAGGTAGGAAATAAATTCATCTAGTGAACGTAAGGGTTTGAAAGGTAACTAACGCACATGTTTAGAGAAAATGGTGCATCGGCCAGTCTGGCCGGCATTTCGCACTTATAGTGCAAGTAGGGCCAAGGAGAACGGAAACGCTCATTTCTCAAAAAGTAAAGGGAATCTAGCGGTCTCACTCGATCAGAAGGTGGGAAATATATAAATCTAGTGAGCTAATAAGGTTCAAATGGAATCTAATGCATATGTATATGGAAAATGGTGCATTGGCCAGGTCGGTCAGTTTGGGAGCTTAGAGTGCAAATGCCAGGGAGAACGGAAGCGCTCAGATCTCGCACAGTACACGGAATCTAGTGGTCTCACTCAAATAGAAGGTAGGAAATAAATTCATCTAGTGAACGTAAGGGTTTGAAAGGTAACTAACGCACATGTGTAGAGAAAATGGTGCATCGGCCAGTTTGGCCAGCATTTCGCACTCATAGTGCAGGTGGGGCCAGGAAGAACGGAAACGCTCATTTCTCAAAAAGTAGAGGAAATCTAACGGTCTCACTCTATCAGAAGGTGGGAAATATATAAATCTAGTCAGCTAAAAAGGTTTGAAATGTATTCAACGCACATGTATAGAGAAAATGGTGCATTGGCCAGGTCGGTCAGTATCGGAACTTAAAATGCAAATGCCAGGGAGAACGGAAGCGCTCAGATCTCGCATAGTACACGGAATCAAGTGGTCTCACTCAAATAGAAAGTAGGAAATATATTCATCTAGTGAACGTAAGGGTTTGAAAGGTAACTAACGCACATGTGTAGAGAAAATGGTGCATCGGCCAGTCTAGCCGGCATTTCGCACTCATAATGCAGGTGGGGCCAGGGAGAACGGAAACGCTCGTTTCTCAAAAAGTAGAGGGAATCTAACAGTCTCACTCGATCAGAAGGTGGGAAATATATAAATCTAGTCAGCTAAAAAGGTTTGAAATGTATTCAACGCAAATGTATAGAGAAAATGGTGCATTGGCCAGGTCGGTCAGTATCGGAACTTAAAATGCAAATGCTAGGGAGAACGGAAGCGCTCAGATCTCGCATAGTACACGGAATCAAGTGGTCTCACTCAAATAGAGAGTAGGGAAGGGTTTGAAAGGTAACTAACGCACATGTGTAGAGAAAATTGTGCATCGGCCAGTCTGGCCGGCATTTCGCACTTATAGTGCAACTAGGGCCAAGGAGAACGGAAACGCTCATTTCTCAAAAAGTAGAGGGAATCTAGCAGTCTCACTCGATCAGAAGGTGGGAAATATATAAAACTAGTGAGCTAATAAGGTTCGAAAGGAATCTAATGCATATGTATATGGAAAATGGTGCATTGGCCAGGTCGGTCAGTATGGGAACTTAGAGTGCAAATGCCAGGGAGAACGGAAGCGCTCAGATCTAGCATAGTACACGGAATCTAGTTGTCTCACTCAAATAGAAGGTAGGAAATAAATTCATCTAGTGAACGTAAGGGTTTGAAAGGTAACTAACGCACATGTGTAGAGAAAATGGTGCATCGGCCAGTCTGGCCGGCATTTCGCACTTATAGTGCAAGTAGGGCCAAGGAGAACGGAAACGCTCATTTCTCAAAAAGTAAAGGGAATCTAGCGGTCTCACTCGATCAGAAGGTGGGAAATATATAATGTCAAACATTATATATGTTCTGCTTGTGTAGGCTACAGTGGGTTAGCCTATAGGGGGTACACAATTCTAGGGTTTCCTACTTGTACTCATTTCACTGCTAGTTCATTCATTCCTGTTCGCTTATTCTCACATGGTATCAGAGCGGGTCCTTCTACGGACCGTTTTTTTTTGGGCCCACCGAAGCGCCCCCCGAGGCGCGATCTTTTTTTTAGCGACCCCTCGGGTCGCCATTTCCCCTGCGGCCCCGCCGCCTTCACTGACGCGGCCCCGCCGCCCTCTCTGTCGCGGCCCCGCCGCCTGCTCTCACGCGGCCCCGCCCCGGCTCCTTCGCGGCCCCGCCGCCTGCTCTCGCGCGGCCCCGCCCCGGCTTCTACGCGAGCCGCTCACCTGCAGCAGCCGAGCCGCCCCACCGCCGAGCCGCCCTGCACCCGAGCCGCCCAGCAGCCGAGCCGCCCTGCCGCCGAGCCGCCGGGTCGCTGAGCTGCTGAGCTGCAGTTGCTGCCGAGCCGCCCTGCCGCCGAGCCGCCGAGTCACCGAGCTGCTGAGCTGCAGTTGCTGCCGAGCCGCCTTGCCGCCGAGCCGCCCGAGTCGCCCGAGCCGCCGAGCCGCCGAGCTGCCGAGCCGCTGAGTCGCCGAGCCTACTCTTCCCACCACTGGTGAGCTCTTACCCTGCTAGCACGCTGCGCGTCGCCTGCTTGCCTGCCTGCCTGCCTTTTGGCTTGCCTGGCTGCCTGCCTCCCTGCTGCTAGTCCTGCTCCTGCTTCTACTTGCGGAGCCAAATGCAGCCCCAGCGACGCCGGCGTGAGTCCCTCACGCCCCAGCAGCTGCGTGAGTGGTACGCTGGTTGGGGCTGTAGGGGTGGCGACGCTACTCCTACTACCACTCCTGCTGCTTCTACTCGTGGTGGCGGCCAGATGCAGCTCCCGCGACCCTCTCGCGTGTCTCTCACGCCTCGCCAGCTTCGTGAGTGGTACGCTCAGAGTGGAGGGTCTCTCAGTGCTGTTCGCTGCTCTTACGTGATTCGCACTGGTACTCGGACTGGTCAGCCTTGTGGGACACGTAGTCATACACCGTCCCGCTGCTTCGCCCGTCTGAGCGACGCCTGGCGTACCGTGTTTGGCGACGAGGCTGAGCTTCCCGACTGGGTGGAGTTGCTTAGGCAGAGGGTAGATATATATGCTCTTGACTATGATGCTATTCTCACTGCCATGTATGCATTGCCTACTAGTGCTGACCGTGCCGGTCACCTATGCGTCCCGCCTGATCCAGGTACAGGTGCGGCTGCTGCTCTAGGTGCTAGTGAGTCTGCTTCCTCAGGTGCGGGTGAGGCTGCGCTTTCAGGTACCGCGTTGGCTTCGGCCTCCCTCACCTTTACACTTGACTCTGGGGCTTCTCGCTCCTTCTTTCGGGACCGCACCACACTCACGCCGCTTGGTCGGCCGGTTGCAGTCTCCCTGGCTGACCCCTCTGGGGGTCCTGTCCTCGCTCACTTCTCCACTGTCCTCCCGTGTCCGGCTGCCCCCTCGGGCACCCTGTCTGGCCTGTACCTCCCCTCGTTCTCGACGAACTTGGTGAGTGGTGCAGACCTACAGGATGCGGGGGTTCACCAGTTCACTCCTGCGAGTCAGCGGGTGACCCACTGCACGGACGCACGCACAGGCCGGCACCTGGCCACGTTCTCGCGTCGGCCGGGGTCGAGCCTCTACACCCTGACCACTGAGTCTCCTCCTGTCCCCGCGTCCGGTCAGGTAGCAGTGTCGGGTCAGGTGTTTGCTGCTGCGTCCAGGTCTGGTCCTGAGTCTGCCCCCTGTTCGTGTCGCCTCCTGTCTCACGAGACTCTTCTGTGGCACCACCGTCTAGGCCACCCCTCCTTGCCCCGTCTTCGGGGCATGGCTTCCCGTGTCCTTGTCTCTGGTCTTCCCCAGTCTCTCCCTCCCCTTCCTTCGGGACCAGGACCTTCCTGTGTCCCCTGTGTCGAGGGGCGCCTCAGGGCTGCTCCTCACTCCTCCCAGTTTCCCCCGACAGAGGCTCCTCTGCAGACGCTTCACATGGACGTGTGGGGCCCGGCCCCCGTCCGTGGGCAGGGTCACGAGCGCTACTTCCTGTTGGTGGTTGACGACTACTCGCGTTACACCTCAGTCTTCCCCTTGCGCAGCAAGGGTGCTGTCACTGAGGTGCTGATCGACTGGATCCGCGAGGCTCGTCTCCAGCTCAGGAGGAGCTTCGGCTCGGACTTTCCTGTTCTGCGTTTGCACTCTGACCGAGGTGGGGAGTTCTCCTCTCGCCTTCTGCGAGACTACTGTCGTGCACAGGGGATCCGCCAGACCTTTACGCTTCCGGACTCTCCAAAGCAAAATGGGATTGCTGAGCGCCGCATTGGCATGGTCATGGATGTCGCTCGTACGTCCATGATGCATGCGGCTGCCCCCCATTTTCTGTGGCCGTTTGCGGTTCGGTACGCGGCGCATCAGCTCAACCTTCACCCCAGGGTCTCTCGGCCCGCGATGTCCCCAGTGTTACTGTGGACGGGGAAGGTCGGCGATGCGTCTGCGTTCCGTGTCTGGGGATCTCGGGCGTTTGTCCGCGACTTGTCTGCGGACAAGCTGTCCCCCCGTGCTGCTCCCTGTGTCTTCCTTGGCTTCCCCCCTGACGCTCCAGGGTGGCAGTTCTACCACCCCTCCTCTCGTCGTGTTCTGTCCTCCCAGGACGTCACGTTCGACGAGTCAGTCCCCTTCTACCGCCTCTTCCCCTACCGTACTCCTTCCCTCCCCCCCCCACCGGACTTCCTGGTACCAGTTCCCCCCCCGGTAGACCCCCTCCCCCCTCAGGTTCCTGCCCCTTCAGGTGTGTCCCAGGTAGACACGGTCGAGCCAGTTGAGGTTGCTGCTGAGTCTGGTCCTGCTGCGGGTGCTGAGCCTGGGGGTGCTGCTGCTGGGGGTGCTGAGCCTGGGGGTGCTGAGCCTGGGGGTGCGAGGCCGGGGGGTGCTGAGTCTGGGGGTGCTGAGCCGGGGGGTGCTGAGCCGGAGGGTGCTACGTCAGGAGCTGCTGAGCCTGGGGGTGCTGGGCCTGGAGGTGCGGAGCCTGCGCCTGCTGGACCTGGGGGCTCTCCGGTTCTTCCATCTCGGCGGGAGCCGCTCTCTCCACAGGAGCTGCGCGAGTGGTTTGCTCGCCGCTGGAGGCGTGCTGCTGGAGCTGGAGCTTCTTCGCCTGCTGAGGGTGCTGCCGGTCCCGGAGCTGCTGGGCCTGCGGGTCCTACTGGAGCTGGAGCTACTGAGTCTGGGGGTGCTGAGTCTGGAGCTGCTGAGCCTGGAGGTGCTGAGTCTGGAGCTGCTGAGCCTGGGGGTGCTACGTCTGGAGCTGCTGTGCCTGGGGGTGCTGAGTCTGGAGCTGCTGAGCCTGGGGTTTCTCCTGCTGCTGCGTCTCGCCGGGAGCCCCTCTCTCCACAGGAGCTGCGCGAGTGGTTTGCTCGCCGCTGGAGGAGTGCTGCTGGAGCTGGAGCTTCGTCGACCGTCGAGGGTGCTGGTGCTGCCGGTCCCGGAGCTGCTGGACCTGCGGGTCCTACTGGAGCTGGAGCTGCTGAGGGTGTTGGTGCTGAGACTACTGCTGTCTGTCCTGGCGGTGGTTCTGCTGCTGGTGCTGCTGGAGGTCCTGCCGCTGGAGGTGTTGGTGGCGCTGGTGCTGTCGCTGAGGGTGCTGGTGCTGTCCCTGCTGAGTCTGGAGCTGCCGCGCGGCCTCGGCCGTACTTCGTTCCGCTCCTACAGCAGGTTCTTGGTCTTTCTCCTTCGGTAGAGTGTCCACAGCCTGTCCAGTCGCAGTCACTGTTGGAGCCTTCCTCTCCTCTGCCTGCTCCCTCTCCTTACACTGGTCCTACTGGAGGTCTTGCTGAGCATCGTGAGCCTGCGTCTCGTCCCGCGTCGCCGGTTCGTGCTGCTCGCGCTAGTGGTCGCGGTTCGCGTCAGCGTCCTCCTCCTGTCCCTGGCACGCACCGGATGTCTCTGCGTCCGTGCACTGCTCCTCTGCGTGCCCCTTTGCCTTCTCCTCCTGAGTCCTCTCTTCCTGCGCTTGCCGACCCTGAGTCGGACTCTCTTTGCGCTGCCAGTCCTACTGTCACGCGTCTGCTTGCTACTGTCGTCACTGACCCCTCTTTTGAGTCCACTGCTGCGTCTGCTCTAGTCGCTGAGCTCGTCGACTTTGCTGCTCGCTGTCGTCTCGACTACGCTGCTAGTCTTGTTGCTGAGTCTGCGTCTGTCTGTCCTCCGTCCGTCGGGGGTGAGTGTGCTCTTGGCACGGACGTCCTAGAGGACAGGCAGGAGGAGTTACAGTGTCTAGCGGCTGCTTCACCTCATCTCGCGTCTGTACTGCTTGCCCCTGAGGGAGACCCGGATGCACTAGACATCCCGACTCCGCGTTCTTACGCGGAGGCCGTAGAGGGTCCCTACTCCTCTCAGTGGCAGGCAGCTATGGATGCAGAGATGGCTTCCTGGAAGTCCACAGGCACCTACGTTGACGCGGTTCCCCCTCCTGGGGCGAACATCGTCAGTGGCATGTGGATCTTCAGAGTGAAGCGGCCGCCGGGCTCTCCACCTGTCTTCAAGGCACGGTACGTTGCTCGTGGCTTCAGTCAGCGGCAGGGAGTTGACTACTTTCAGACCTTCTCTCCCACCCCGAAGATGACCACTCTTCGGGTGCTACTGCACATAGCCGCTCAGCGCGACTACGAGCTTCACTCTCTCGACTTCAGCACTGCGTTCCTGCAGGGTAGCCTGCACGAGGAGATCTGGCTGCGCCGTCCACCTGGCTTCACTGGGACTTTCCCTCCTGGCACCCAGTGGAGCCTCCGACGGCCAGTCTACGGTCTCCGCCAGGCACCGCGTGAGTGGCACGACACACTGAGGACTACGCTTGCGGCTCTTGGGTTTGCTCCTTCTATTGCTGACCCGTCGCTGTTTCTGCGCACCGACACTTCACTGCCGCCGTTCTACATCCTCGTGTACGTCGACGACTTGGTCTTTGCCACAGCGGACACTGCTGGACTCGCCTACGTGAAGTCCGAACTGCTGAAGAGACACACGTGCACAGACCTGGGTGAACTGCGCAGCTACCTTGGCTTGCAGATCACTCGGGACAGAGCACGCCGCACCATTACCTTGACTCAGTCACACATGGTGCAGCAGGTCCTTCAGCGCTTTGGCTTCACGTACTCCTCGCCTCAGGCCACTCCTCTGCCTACTCGCCACTCACTCTCAGCTCTGCCTTCGGATGAGTCCGTAGAGTCGAGTGGTCCGTATGCAGAGCTTGTTGGCTGCCTCATGTACCTGATGACCTGCACACGACCTGACCTTGCATACCCTCTGAGCATTCTTGCACGCTATGTTGCTCCTGGGAGACACAGACCAGAGCACATGGCTGCAGCGAAGAGGGTATTGCGCTACCTGTGCAGTACGTCGGGCATGGGGCTAGTGCTTGGAGGGCGGAGTCCAGTGGTCCTTACCGGCCACGCGGACGCTTCTTGGGCTGACAACCAGGCTACGCAGCGGTCGTCACAGGGTTACACCTTCAGCCTTGGTTCCGGCTCTGTCTCGTGGCGGTCTACTCGCTCGTCTTCGGTTCTCGGCTCCAGTTGTGAGGCTGAGATCTACGCCGGGGCCATGGCTGCACAGGAGCTTCGCTGGCTCACCTACCTGCTGACTGACCTTGGAGAGCCACCTCGTTCTCCTCCAGTGCTGTACGTAGACAACAAGGCCATGCTGGCATTGTGTCGAGAGCAGCGCTTGGAGCACAGAACGAAGCACATTGCTCTCCGCTACTTCCTTGCTCGTGAGCTGCAGCAGCGTGGTCAGTTGCGACTTGCGTACGTGGCCTCTGAGGCCAACACTGCTGATGTGTTCACCAAGGCACTCGCGCCTTGTGACCATCAGCGCTTTTGCACCCAGCTGGGTCTTGTGCCTGTCTTGCCTCACTTGCTCTCCTCTTGACTTCACTTGTACTGTGACATATATATATACCTGCTCTTGCTTGTCTAGTTTTATATATATGTCTGTACTCCTGCATGTGAACTGGCCTCTGGCCCTGCTCTTGTGCTCGGACTGTGTGGTGACTTTGTGATCCACCCTGAGCTTGCTTTGCTTTACTTGACTGGTCTTGTGACCCCTTGTTCTCCCCCACTTTGCCTATAGGGGTGTGTCAAACATTATATATGTTCTGCTTGTGTAGGCTACAGTGGGTTAGCCTATAGGGGGTACACAATTCTAGGGTTTCCTACTTGTACTCATTTCACTGCTAGTTCATTCATTCCTGTTCGCTTATTCTCACATATAAATCTAGTGAGCTAATAAGGTTCGAAAGGAATCTAATGCATATGTATATGGAAAATGGTGCATTGGCCAGGTCGGTCAGTATGGGATCTTAAAGTGCAAATGCCAGGGAGAACGGAAGCGCTCAGATCTCGCATAATACATGGAATCTAGTGGTCTCACTCAAATATAAGGTAGGAAATATATTCATCTAGTGAACGTAAGGGTTTGAAAAGGTAACTAACGCACATGTGTAGAGAAAATGGTGCATCGGCCAGTCTGGCCGGCATTTCGCACTCATAGTGCAGGTGGGGCCAGGGAGAACGGAAACGCTCGTTTCTCATAAAGTAGAGGGAATCTTACGGTCTCACTCGATCACAAGGTGGGAAATATATAAATCTAGTCAGCTAAAAAGGTTTGAAATGTATTCATTGCACATATATAGAGAAAATGGTGCATTGGCCAGGTCGGTCAGTATCGGAACTTAAAATGCAAATGCCAGGGAGAACGGAAGCGCTCAGATCTCACATAGTACACGGAATCAAGTGGTCTCACTCAAATAGAAAGTAGGAAAGGGTTTGAAAGGTAACTAACGCACATGTGTAGAGAAAATTGTGCATCGGCTAGTCTGGCCGGCATTTCGCACTTATAGTGCAACTAGGGCCAAGGAGAACGGAAACGCTCATTACTAAAAAAGTAGAGGGAATCTAGCAGTCTCACTCGATCAAAAGGTGGGAAATATATAAAACTAGTGAGCTAATAAGGTTAGAAAGGAATCTAATGCATATGTATATGGAAAATGGTGCATTGGCCAGGTCGGTCAGTATGGGAACTTAGAGTGCAAATGCCAGGGAGAACGGAAGCGCTCAGATCTCGCATAGTACACGGAATCTAGTGGTCTCACTCAAATAGAAGGTAGGAAATATATTCATCTAGTGAACGTAAGGGTTTGAAAGGTAACTAACGCACATGTGTAGAGAAAATGGTGCATCGGCCAGTCTGGCCGGCATTTCGCACTTATAGTGCAACTAGGGCCAAGGAGAACGGAAACGCTCATTTCTCAAAAAGTAAAGGGAATCTAGCGGTCTCACTCGATCAGAAGGTGGGAAATATATAAATCTAGTGAGCTAATAAGGTTCAGAAGGAATCTAATGCATATGTATATGGAAAGTGGTGCATTGGCCAGGTCGGTCAGTATGGGAACTTAGAGTGCAAATGCCTGGGAGAACGGAACCGCTCAGATCTCGCATAATACACGGAATCTAGTGGTCTCATTCAAATATAAGGTAGGAAATATATTCATCTAGTGAACGTAAGGGTTTGAAAGGTAACTAACACACATGTGTAGAGAAAATGGTGCATCGGCCAGTCTGGCCGGCATTTCGCACTCATAGTGCAGGTGGGGCCAGGGAGAGCGGAAACGCATGTTTCTCAAATAGTAGAGGGAATCTAACGGTCTCACTCGATCAGAAGGTGGGAAATATATAAATCTAGTCAGCTAAAAAGGTTTAAAATGTATTCAACGCACATGTATTCAACGTGCCAAGTGAACAGGAATGACTAAGGAAAGATTGGGTACAAATACAACCCTAGAAACCCTGTACCCCATATGTGCTACCCCACTATAGCCTACAGCAACTATGTCATATAAATCTGACAAATGCCAGGGAGAACGGAAGCGCTCTGACCTCGCATAGTACACGGAATCTAGTGGTCTCACTCAAATAGAAGGTAGGAAATAAATTCATCTAGTGAACGTAAGGGTTTGAAAGGTAACTAACGCACATGTGTAGAGAAAATGGTGCATCGGCCAGTCTGGCCGGCATTTCGCACTTATAGTGCAACTAGGGCCAAGGAGAACGGAAACGCTCATTTCTCAAAAAGTAGAGGGAATCTAGCGGTCTCACTCGATCAAAACGTGGGAAATATATAAATCTAGTGAGCTAATAAGGTTCGAAAGGAATCTAATGCATATGTATATGGAAAATGGTGCATTGGCCAGGTCGGTCAGTATGGGAACTTAGAGTGCAAATGCCAGGGAGAACGGAAGCGCTCAGATCTCGCATAGTACACGGAATCTAGAGGTCTCACTCAAATAGAAGGTAGGAAATAAATTCATCTAGTGAACGTAAGGGTTTGAAAGGTAACTAACGCACATGTGTAGAGAAAATGGTGCATCGGCCAGTCTGGCCGGCATTTCGCACTTATAGTGCAAGTAGGGCCAAGGAGAACGGAAACGCTCATTTCTAAAAAAGTAGAGGGAATCTAGCGGTCTCACTCGATCAGAAGGTGGGAAATATATAAATCTAGTGAGCTAATAAGGTTCGGAAGGAATCTAATGCATATGTATATGGAAAGTGGTGCATTGGCCAGGTCGGTCAGTATGGGAACTTAGAGTGCAAATGCCTGGGAGAACGGAACCGCTCAGATCTCGCATAATACACGGAATCTAGTGGTCTCACTCAAATATAAGGTAGGAAATATATTCATCTAGTGAACGTAAGGGTTTGAAAGGTAACTAACGCACATGTGTAGAGAAAATGGTGCATCGGCCAGTCTGGCCGGCATTTCGCACTTATAGTGCAAGTAGGGCCAAGGAGAACGGAAACGCTCATTTCTCAAAAAGTAAAGGGAATCTAGCGGTCTCACTCGATCACAAGGTGGGAAATATATAAATCTAGTGAGCTAATAAGGTTCGAAAGGAATCTAATGCATATGTATATGGAAAATGGTGCATTGGCCAGGTCGGTCAGTATGGGAACTTAGAGTGCAAATGCCAGGGAGAACGGAATCGCTCAGCTCTCGCACAGTACACGGAATCTAGTGGTCTCACTCAAATAGAAGGTAGGAAATAAATTCATCTAGTGAACGTAAGGGTTTGAAAGGTAACTAACGCACATGTGTAGAGAAAATGGTGCATCGGCCAGTCTTGCCGGCATTTCGCACTCATAGTGCAGGTGGGGCCAGGAAGAACGGAAACGCTCATTTCTCAAAAAGTAGAGGGAATCTAACGGTCTCACTCTATCAAAAGGTGGGAAATATATAAATCTAGTCAGCTAAAAAGGTTTGAAATGTATTCAACGCACATGTATAGAGAAAATTGTGCATCGGCCAGTCTGGCCGGCATTTCGCACTTATAGTGCAACAAGGGCCAAGGAGAACGGAAACGCTCATTTCTCGAAAAGTAGAGGGAATCTAGCGGTCTCACTTGATCAGAAGGTGGGAAATATATAAATCTAGTAAGCTAATAAGGTTTGAAAGGAATCTAATGCATATGTATATGGAAAATGATGCATTGGCCAGGTCGGTCAGTATGGGAACTTAGAGTGCAAATGCCAGGGAGAACGGAAGCGCTCAGATCTCGCATAGTACACGGAATCTGGTGGTCTCACTCAAATAGAAGGTAGGAAATAAATTCATCTAGTGAACGTAAGGGTTTGAAAGGTAACTAACACACATGTGTAGAGAAAATGGTGCATCGGCCAGTCTGGCCGGCATTTCGCACTTTTAGTGCAACTAGGGCCAAGGAGTACGGAAACGCTCGTTTCTCAAAAAGTAGAGGGAATCCAGCTGTCTCACTCGATCAGAAGGTGGGAAATATATAATTATAGTGAGCTAATAATGTTCGGAAGGAATCTAATGCATATGTATATGGAAAGTGGTGCATTGGCCAGGTCGGTCAGTATGGGAACTTAGAGTGCAAATGCCTCGGAGAACGGAACCGCTCAGATCTCACATAGTACACGGAATCTAGTGGTCTCACTCAAATATAAGGTAAGAAATATATGCATCTAGTAAACGTAAGGGTTTGAAAGGTAACTAACGCACATGTGTAGAGAAAATTGCGCATCGGCCAGTCTGGCCGGCATTTCGCACTTATAGTGCAACTAGGGCCAAGGAGAACGGAAACGCTCATTACTAAAAAAGTAGAGGGAATCTAGCAGTCTCACTCGATCAAAAGGTGGGAAATATATAAAACTAGTGAGCTAATAAGGTTCGAAAGGAATCTAATGCATATGTATATGGAAAATGGTGCATTGGCTAGGTCGGTCAGTATGGGAACTTAGAGTGCAAATGCCAGGGAGAACGGAAGCGCTCTGATCTCGCATAGTACACGGAATCTAGTGGTCTCACTCAAATAGAAGGTAGGAAATAAATTCATCTAGTGAACGTAAGGGTTTGAAAGGTAACTAACGCACATGTGTAGAGAAAATGGAGCATCGGCCAGTCTGGCCGGCATTTCGCACTTATAGTGCAAGTAGGGCCAAGGAGAACGGAAACGCTCATTTCTCAAAAAGTAAAGGGAATCTAGCACTCTCACTCGATCACAAGGTGGGAAATATATATATCTAGTGAGCTTATAAGGTTCGAAAGGAATCTAATGCATATGTATATGGAAAATGGTGCATTGGCCAGGTCGGTCAGTATGGGAACTTAGAGTGCAAATGCCTGGGAGAACGGAACCGCTCAGATCTCGCATAATGCACGGAATCTAGTGGTCTCACTCAAATATAAGGTAGGAAATATATTCATCTAGTGAACGTAAGGGTTTGAAAGGTAACTAACGCACATGTGTAGAGAAAATGGTGCATCGGCCAGTCTGGCCGGCATTTCGCACTCATAGTGCAGGTGGGGCTATAGAGAACGGAAACGCTCGTTTCTCAAAAAGTAGAGGGAATCTAATGGTCTCACTCGATCAGAAGGTGGGAAATATATAAATCTAGTCAGCTAAAAAGGTTTGAAATGTACTCAACGCACATGTATAGAGAAAATGGTGCATTGGCCAGGTCGGTCAGTATCGGAACTTAAAATGCAAATGCCAGGGAGAACGGAAGCGCTCACATCTCGCATAGTACACGGAATCAAGTGGTCTCACTCAAATAGAAAGTAGGAATTCATCTAGTGAACGTAAGGGTTTGAAAGGTAACTAACGCACATGTGAAGAGAAAATTGTGCATCGGCCAGTCTGGCCGGCATTTCGCACTTATAGTGCAACTAGGGCCAAGGAGAACGGAAACGCTCATTTCTCAAAAAGGAGAGCGAATCTAGCGGTCTCACTCGATCAGAAGGTGGGAAATATATAAATCTAGTGAGCTAATAAGGTTCGAAAGGAATCTAATACATATGTATATGGAAAATGGTGCATTGGCCAGGTCGGTCAGTATGGGAACTTAGAGTGCAAATGACATGGACGTGGACGTGGACGTGGACGTGGACATGGACATGGACATGGACGTGGACATGGACGTGGACGTGGACGTGGACGTGGATGTGGACATGGACGTGGACGTGTCCATGTCCATGTCCACGTCCACGTCCATGTCCAAGTCCATGTCCCTGTCTACGTCCACGTCCACGTCCATGTCCACGTCCACGTCCTCGTCCACGTCCAGGTCCACGTCCATGTCTACGTCCACGTCCACGTCCACGTCCATGTCCACGTCCACGTCCATGTCCACGACCACGTCTACGTCCACGACCTCGTCCACGTCCACGTCCACGTCCACGTCCACGTCTAAGTCCATGTCCACGTCCACGTCCACGTCCACGTCCACATCCACGACCATGTCTTCGTCAACATCCACGTCCACGTCCATGTCCACGTCCATGTCCACGTCCAAGTTCTCCACGTCCACGTCCACTTCCACGTCGACGTCCACGTACATGTCCACGTCCATGTCCACGTCCACGTCCATGTCCACGTCCACGTCCATGTCCACGTCCACGTCCACGTCCACGTCAACGTCCATCTCCACGTCCAAGTCCTCCACGTCCACGTCCACGTCCACGTCCACGCCCACGTCCACGTCCACGTCCATGTCCACGTCCATGTCCACCTCCACGTCTTTGTCCACGTCCACGTCCACGTCCACGTCCACGTCACGTCCACGTCCACGTCCATGTCCACGTCCACGTCCACGTCAACGTCCACGTCCACGTCCACTCCACGTCCACGTCCATGTCCACGTCCAAGTCCTCCACGTCCACGTCCACGTCCACGTCCACGTCCTGGGAGGACAGAACACGAGGAGAGGAGGGGTGGTAAAACTGCCACCCTGGGGCGTCAGTGGGGAAGCCAAGGAAGACACAGGGAGCAGCACGAGGGGACAGCTTGTCCGCAGACAAGTCGCGGACAAACGCCCGAGATCCCCAGACACGGAACACAGACGCATCGCCAACCTTCCCCGTCCACAGCAAGGCTGGGGACATCGCAGGCCGAGAGACCCGGGGGTGAAGGTTGAGCTGATGCGCCGCGTACCTCACCGCAAACGGCCACAGAAAATGGGGGGCAGCCGCATGCATCATGGACGTACGAGCGACATCCATGACCATACCAATGCGGCGCTCAGCAATCCCATTTTGCTGTGGTGAGTCCGGAAGCGTGAAGGTCTGGCGGATCCCCCGTGCACGACAGTAGTCCCGCAGCAGGCGAGAAGAGAACTCTCCGCCTCTGTCAGAGTGCAGACGCAGAACAGGAAAGTCCGAGCCGAAGCTCTTCTGAGCTGGAGACGAGCCTCACGGATCCAGTCGATCAGCACCTCAGTGACCGCACCCTTGCTGCGCAAGGGGAGGACTGTGGTGTAACGCGAGTAGTCGTCAACCACCAACAGGAAGTAGCGCTCGTAACCCTGCCCACGGACGGGGGCTGGGCCCCACACATCCATGTGAAGCGTCTGCAGGGGAGCCTCTGTCGGGGGGAAGTGGGAGGAGTGAGGAGTAGCCCGGAGGCGACCCTCGACACAGGGGACACAGGAAGGTCCTGGCCCGGAGGGGAGAGGAGGGAGAGACTGGGGAAGACCAGAGACAAGGACACGGGAAGCCATGCTCCGAAGACGGGGCAAGGAGGGGTGGCCAAGACGGTGGTGCCACAGGAGAGTCTCGTGAGACAGGAGGCGACAAGAACAGGGGGCAGACTCAGGACCTGACCGGGACGCAGCAGCAAGCACCTGACCCGACGCAGCCACCTGACCAGACGCAGGGACAGGAGGAGACTCAACGGTCAGGGTGTAGAGACTCGACCCCGGCCGACGCGAGAACGTGGCCAGGTGTCGGCCTGTGCGTGCCTCCGTGCAGTGGGTCACCCGCTGACTCGCAGGAGTGAACTGGTGAACCCCCACATCCTGCAGGTCCGCTCCACTCACCAAGTTCGTAGAGAACGAGGGAAGGTACAGACCCGACAGGGTGCCCGAAGGGGCAGCCGGACACGGGAGGACAGTGGAGAAGTGAGACAGGACAGGACCCCCAGAGGGGTCAGCAAGGGAGACCGCAACCGGCCGGCCGAGCGGCGTAAGGGTAGTGCGGTCTCGAAAGAAGGAGCGAGAAGCTCCGGAGTCAAGTGTGAAAGTGAGGGAGGACGAGGACGACGCAGTACCTGAGAGCGCAGTCTCACCAGTACCTGAGAGCACAGACGCACTGGCACCTAGAGCAGCAGCCTCACAAGCACCTAGCGCAGCAGTACCAATGCCCGGGTCGGGCTGGAAACAACGGTAACCCTCATTCTCCTCACTATAATCCACAACATACATAGCAGCAAGGATAGCATCAAAATCAAAATCAAAGATCGCTACACCAGCCCTGAGAAGCTCATCCCAGCGAGGGATCTCACTAGCCCCAGGGAACTGCTGACGCCAAGCGTCCGTCAGGCGGCCAAAGCAGCGCTGGGTGGCGTGGGCACCCCCACACTGCTCACCCGCGCGGTCGCCGGAACGAAGAACGTAGGTGCAGGGACCAGTACCCCCACCCCTCTGACGCCCAACGTACCACTCACGAAGCTGCTGAGGCGGAGGGATGTCCCGCGAGCGCTGCTGCTGCTGCCGCTGCGAGCGCTGGCCACCACCACCGCCGCTACGCTGCTGGGTACCACCTCGACCAGCTCCACCTCCTCCACCACCACCGCCTCCTCCGCTGCCGCCTCCACCGCCTCCACCTCCGCCGCCTCCACCACCGCCGCTGCCTCCACCACCACCGCTGGCACCACCACCACCGTCTCCGCCACTGCTGCCACCTGTGAAATAGAGAACGAGAATGGAATGACTATGAAAGAAGTGAGTACAAATAGGAAACCCTAATTGGGTTGTACCCCCTATGGGATACCCCACTATAGCCTACACAATAGTATAAGCTATATAGTTCTGACACACCCCCATAGGCAAAGTGGGGGAGAACAAGGGGTCACAAGACCAGTCAAGCAAAGCAAAGCAAAGCTCAGGGTGGATCACAAAGTCACCACACATTCCGAGCACAAGTTCAAGGCCACATGGCCAGTTCACATGCAAGATCATATATAGAGATATACAAGAGTCAAGTAAGCAAGAGCAAGAGTATATATAGGCGAAGGTACAAGCAAGGTCAAGAGGAGAGCAAGTGAGGCAAGACAGGCACAAGACCCAACTGCGTGCAACAACGCTGATGATCACAAGGCGCAAGTGCCTTGGTGAAGACATCAGCAGTGTTGGCCTCAGAGGCCACGTACGCAAGTCGCAACTGTCCACGCTGCTGTAGCTCACGAGCAAGAAAGTAGCGGAGAGCAATGTGCTTCGTTCTGTGCTCCAGTCGCTGCTCTCGACACAAGGCCAGCATGGCCTTGTTGTCTACGTACAGGACTGGAGGAGAACGAGGCTGCTCTCCAAGGTCGGTCAGCAGGTAGGTGAGCCAGCGTAACTCCTGTGCAGCCATAGCCCCAGCGTAGATCTCAGCCTCACAACTGGAGCCGAGAACAGAAGACGAGCGGGTAGCCCGCCACGAGACAGAGCCGGAACCTAGGCTGAAGGTGTAACCCTGTGACGACCGCTGCGTAGCCTGGTCGTCAGCCCAAGAAGCGTCCGCGTGCCCAGTGAGGACCACTGGACTGCGCCCTCCAAGCACTAGCCCCATGCCCGACGTACTGCACAAGTAGCGCAACACCCTCTTCGCTGCAGCCATGTGCTCTGGTCGGTGTCTCCCAGGAGCAACATAGCGTGCGAGAATGCTAAGAGGGTATGCAAGGTCAGGTCGTGTGCAGGTCATCAGGTACATGAGGCAGCCAACAAGCTCTGCATACGGGCCACTCGACTCTACGGACTCATCCGAAGGCAGAGCTGAGAGCGAGTGGCGAGTAGGCAGAGGAGTGGCCTGAGGCGAGGAGTACGTGAAGCCGAAGCGCTGAAGGACCTGCTGCACCATGTGTGACTGAGTCAGGGTAATGGTGCGGCGTGCTCTGTCCCGGGTGATCTGCAAGCCAAGATAGCTGCGCAGTTCACCCAGGTCAGTGCACGTGTGTCTCTTCTTCTGCAGCTCGGACTTCACGTAGGCGAGTCCAGCAGTGTCAGCTGTGGCAAAGACCAAGTCGTCGACGTACACGAGGATGTAGAACGGCGGCAGAGAGGTGTCAGTGCGCAGAAACAGCGACGGGTCGGCAGTAGAAGGAGCAAACCCAAGTGCCGCGAGCGTAGTCCTCAGTGTGTCGTGCCACTCACGTGGCGCCTGGCGGAGACCGTAGACTGGACGCCGGAGACTCCACTGGGTACCAGGAGGGAAAGACCCAGTGAAGCCAGGTGGGCGACGCAGCCAGATCTCCTCGTGCAGGCTGCCCTGCAAGAAAGCTGTTCTGAAGTCGAGAGAGTGCAGCTCGTAGTCACGGTGAGCAGCAACGTGCAGCAGGACCCGAAGAGTGGTCATCTTCGGGGTGGGGGAGAAGGTCTGAAAGTAGTCAACCCCCTGCCGCTGACTGAAGCCACGAGCCACGTAACGCGCCTTGAAGACAGGCGGAGAACCCGGCGGCCGCTTCACCCTGAAAATCCACATGCCACTGACGATGTTCGCCCCAGGGGGGGGAACAGCGTCAACGTAGGTGCCTGTGGACTTCCAGGAAGCCATCTCTGCATCCATAGCTGCCTGCCACTGAGAGGAGTAGGGACCCTCTATCGCCTCCGCGTAAGAGCGCGGAGTCGGGATGTCTGGTGCATCCGGGTCTCCCTCAGGGGCTAGCAGTACAGACGCGAGACGAGGTGAAGCGGCGGCCAGACACTGGAACTCCTCCTGCCTGTCCTCAAGGACGTCCGTGCCAAGGGCACACTCACCCCCGACGGACGGAGGACAGGCGGACTCCAGACTCAGTGACAAGACGGGCAACGTAGTCTAGACGACACGCGCGCAAGCAAAGTCGACAAGCTCAGTGACAAGGGCAGACGCAGCAGACGACTCGAAGGAAGGGTCAGTGACAGCTGTAGCAAGGAGACGCATGACAGTAGGACTGGCAGCACCGAAGGGAGTCCGGACTCCGGGTCGGCAAGAGCAGGAAGAGAGGAAGCAGGAGGAGAAGGCAAAGGGCAGCAGAGAG